TATGCTATTTTCATTTAAATTAATAATATTATTTATTTATTGAAAAATATGCTAACAACCCATATATTTTAAATTTTAGATAAGCTTTCGAAAATATTTATAATGATTTATTCTTTTGGTCTCTTAATTTTAAAACGACTTAGGAATATATAAAATTGATTATTTATTAGTTGGATTGTTACATTTTTTAATGTTGGTGTTTTACTCTTTTTTTGTGTGTGTGTAATCACATATTTTAACATCATTTATTTTTTCTTAAAAATATGTACATTTGATAACCTTTCATGAAAAATAAAATGCTATGGAATGTTGTGTAAAAGTTCAATTTGAATCAAATTTTCAACAAAAAAACATATATTTCCATAAATTATATATGTTGAACTAAATTATAAATACATAAAGTAAAAATTTGAAGGTGTAGAGCTTCTTTTTATGGTACACGTGCTAATATTTATATTTATTTATTGTAAATATATTTTTATATGAGATGATTGTCTACTTAAACTACATGCTCGTTATTTAACATTTAAAATCAGGCCCCCTCGTTAAAATTTCTAGATCCGTCACTGCCTACACTGGTTTCTAAAAGCTGGAGATATACTTAGAAAAATCAAATTCCAAGCCATCCATAACCATGTCCTGTCCACCCCTAAAACTTCCCCCAAAATAGTCCAATTTTTGGAATATTATTTATATTTTCCTATTTATGTGGCCTTAAAAGTTTTAATTAAAGTTTATATGAACTGCAGCTTGAGTGGTGAGATGTTCCACTTATGACCGGTAAGTCTTGATTTTGAGTCATCTAGTAGGAGAAATACCAACATTATTGATGCTCTTTCTAAAGAAAAAAAAATAAAATTAAAAGTTTTACTATATTTATGTTGTAATTTACTATTTTTCATATTCTTTTTAATTTTCTTTTTATGTAAGTCTGAAGTCTTAAGTAAAGTCTTGCTATATTCATTTTATAATTTACTTTTAAGGTAATTTTTCATTATAATGCAATTGTAAGAATATGTGGCCCGAAAGTATTAGGCTCACAATTAATTATCTTATTGGGCTAGGTCTTTAATTAATGGTCAAACAAATCTAAGCCATTAATCTGGATATTTGATGGACGTCCCAGATCTAAAGTCACATCTATATAAATTAGTTCTCTCTCCTCCTATTAGGGTACGCAGTTTTATCCCATTACTTTTCTGCTGCGTTAAGAGAATGTCAGGAAGGAGAAACTGATTTAGATCTACCAATTAGTTCAAGCCCGTGATCATCAAGCTTAAGATCACTAATTATGTCGTCTTCCGCATCAAGTAAGTAAATCGTATACACCAAATTATTTATTCAAGATCCTTGATGATGTTTACATGTGGTATCAGAGCATGTGTT